TGCGATGTTTGTTGATTGCCTGTTGATAATCCAACCGACGATTTTCAAACAGGNAAAACAGAAAGATGTCCTCGAAAACCGAGGTGATGAGCGAGAGGTCTTCGGTCGCCGGAGACAGAGAACTCGGAGCCGTTAATAGAGACAAGTCGCGTGAGCTATCGGAAGTGTGAAACCACTTAGTCGCGTGAGCTATCGGAAGTGTGAAACCACTTAGTCGCGTGAGCTATCGGAAGTGTGAAACCACTTAGTCGCGTGAGCTATCGAAAGTTGCGAAACCGATTAATTGTTAACTTTAATTATAATAAATTCATTTTGTTCATCTTTACATATTAAATACTGAGAATTAATTCTTTCTATAACCAATAATACCACACATATAAATATTCTTTATTGCGAGGATTCGCGTCACTATTCACCAAATTTTAATTTAAGAGCGGCGGCGGGGAACAAGGGATACTGCATTCCTTGCAACCTGCCTTATCGTCCCGGGCAAGGAGTTCATCGCTGCTCGAATAAATGTCCGCGTTGTCACGGTGTGTCGTCGTGCGAATCGGAAGAGGTAGAGCAAATTAGATGCGAGCGATGCAAGAGAACGTTTTAGGGACGCGAATGTCTCGAGCGTCACCGGGCCGAATACTCTTACGGAGATGGGCGTTCGAGTGTATGCAGCGCCTTGCAATTGTGTGACGATTGCAGGCGTTTGTACAGAACAAGCGCGGGGCACGAATGCGGCGTCGTGTTTTACAATATTTGCAGTTCGCGTCGAGAGGTGAATCATCTTTGTTACATTCGACCTCTCGCACGCGATGATTTCACCGGAAAGAAAAAAAACGCGCACGTCGCATTCGTGTTTTACGATTTTGAGACCCGATAGGACGAGACGCTCGAGGGTAGCGCGTCTGTGAAAATTCACGTGCCCACTCTTTGCGTTGCGCAGCAGATTTGCGTCACGTGCGCGGCTGAGAACGACAGGACGACGCGTTGTTAGTAGTCCAGTGTGCGCGAATTCGTGTTTCGGGATGATCCGGTGAAGCAATTCGTTGATTTTGCTACGAGAACGACGAAATATTTCAAGCAGATCATCTGCAACGCGCACAACGCCAAAACGTTCGACGCGCAGTTCATCCAGCGTTACATCGCGGAAAAACGCGTCGAATTGAATCCTAGAGTAATATTAAACGGAACGAAGATCGTCATATTAACGGTCGGACGTACAAAATTCATCGATAGTATCAATTACATGCCGATGCAATTGTCAGCTTTGCCGAAAGCTTTTGGTTTGCGGGATAGATTGGAAAAGGGATATTTCCCGCATTTATTTAACACCCTCGCGAATCAGTCGCGTATGTCGGACCGTTACCAGCCGTTGAATATTACTCGCCGGATAGTATGTCTAGCAAAGAACGCGAGCGTTTTTTGTCGTGGCACGCGGAACAAACGTGCGAAAACGCAGTTTTTGACTTTCAACGCGAGATAGTGCGTTATTGTCATAACGACATTGATATCTTGCGGCGAGCGTGCATGGCCTTCCGCATAATATTTCTTGAGCGCGGAAACGTATGTCCGTTCGAAGAATCCACGACCATCGCTTTCACATGTATGCGAATTTTTCGTAAAAACTTTTTACGCGAGAAAAAGATCGGCGTCATTCCTCGCGGCGGATATCGCGTCGCGGATACGCAATCCCGCAAAGCTCTGCAGTGGCTGATGTGAAAGGAGCGCAAGCTCGGCCACGCCGTTGTTCACGCGGGTCACGGGCGAGAACATTGTCTTGCGGAAATCGGAGGCATTCCCGTCGACGGATATTACGAGACGGCGAACGGTGAGCGTCACGTGTTGCAATACCACGGCTGCTTTTGGCACGGGTGTCCCGCGTGTTTTAAAACGGAACGCGACAAACGTCTCTGTACGGGAGAACGCGAAGTGTACAATACGATGAACTCGCGATACGAGCGTACACTGACAACGTCTCATGGCGTCTTTGCAAACGGGGCTACATCGTGACGGAGAAATGGGAGTGCGCTTTTGATCGCGATATGCGGGAAAATCGCAAAATGCGAGCGTTTTTAGACCAACATCCGATGCTCGCGGCTGAACCGCTTTTACTGCGTGACGCATTTTTCGGCGGTCGAACGGGAAACATCGCGATTCGGCGCGAAGTTAAGGGTACGGAGAAGATACGTTACGTAGACGTGTGTTCTCTATACCCTTACGTGTTGAAAACCGGCGCTTTCCCGATTGGACATCCGAAAATTCTCGTCGAAAAGAAAGAGTGCGCCTTGCTCATCGAGGCGATGCCCGGTGTCGATTTTTCCGCGGTCGAGGGGCTCGTGCGCTGTAGAGTGCTCCCTCCGCGCAATCTTTTTCACCCTGTACTCCCGTAACGTGTACAGGGCAAACTGCTGTTTGCCTTATGCCGCAGTTGCTGCAAAAACTTCTCGCAGACTCAGTGCTCACACGATAATCCGTGCGATCGTGAATTCGAAGAGGTGTGGGTATCATGTGAATTACGCAAAGCTGTGAAGAAGGGTTATCTCGTGACTGCGGTGAGCGAGATATGGCAATACGAGACGAGCCGATACGACGCTGATACGCGTCAGGGGGGATTATTTGCCGAATACATCAACTATTTCCTCAAATTGAAGCAAGAGGCGAGCGGATGGTCGAGCGAATGCGTGGACGAACAATCTAAAGAACGATATTTTCGAGAATACGAAGCAATCAAAAGTATTGCTCTAGATAGAGCAAACATTGCGCAAAATCCAGGTTTACGCTCGGTCGCAAAGCTGTGCCTCAATTCGTTTTGGGGAAAATTCGGACAACGTTCGAACCTGACGAGTACCGAGGTGGTAAAGTCGTAGGAACGTCTCGTATCGCTATTGTCGAGCCCCGAGTACAAGGTAACCGATATATTGCCTGTGAATGCCGAGGTAATATATGTTTCGTGGCGAATGCGAGACGAGGCGGTCGTACCCTCTCCGATTACCAATGTGATAATAGCGGCGTACACGACGGCACAGGCGCGATTGAAACTATACGAATATTTAGAACGTTTAGGCGAGCGCGTTCTTTATTACGATACAGATTCGTGTATTTATGTGAGCAACGGTGAACTCGGCGAATACGAACCGCGTACGGGAAATTTCCTGGGCAATATAACGAACGAGCTCGAAGGCTACCGGATGTAACTACCGGACGCGGTAGTTACATCGAGTCATTTGTATCCGGTGGCCCGAAATTTTATACGTAGTTCGTACTCCGGACGGTAACGCGCGGGAGGTATGTAAAATCAAGGGAATAACTCTCAATGCAGCAATCTCCTGCATAATTAATTTCAATAGCGTTAGGCAAATGTTAATGCAAAGAAAGAGAAAAGAAGAAAATGCGTCGATAAATCTACATTTTAGGGCGATTCGTCGTACCGCGTTTCACGAGATTGTGACGGGGGACGAATCAAAAACCTGCTCGCCGGTTTTGCTGAAGCGTAGATTTATCGACGAACGACGCTCCGTTCCGTACGGCTACTTGGAATAAGTTTTTTTTTCTTTCCCCGCATTCTTGTAACTAGTTTGTATAGTTTAAACGCATAAGCAATAGTTAAAATTGCGTATATATGCACGTATATATGTATGTATATATGTTTTCCGTCCAAATAGGAAATAATGTAAGCAAGCGCTTTGTACATATAATAAAAATTATATTAAATGTAAGTTATTTTACTAATATATCGCGTGTAAAAATAAAGTTATAAAATGCAAGAGATTTTCTGTGAATTTGAGTAAATTAAGATAAGCAATATGATTTGTACACATTTTGTAAAAAGTAATATTTTAGTATTATTAAATTTTTATTAAAAACAAAATTAAAAGATTGCTTTTTCCCGATCTCTATTTTCTCTTATCCTTAGAAACTGACTTTTTGATATATATAACCTCAACAACGCTATAAGTTTCTATTAGCGCGCGCGTTTGACAAGCTTACTTTTGCGCGCGCGACAATAAGCTGATTTTTCATGAAAACAGCTTTTCAATCACCCGGAATAAGCTCACCGTCCGTTGCCGCGACGAAAAGTAGCTCGTTGTAGCAGCAAAACGTGCTAAACCGCGGCCGCCGCGTGGCCCCCCATGCGCGATGGTGAGCTCATCGTCGCAAACAAAACAATTAAAGAATCTTTTAAGGCTCCGAAGTTTCCAAACTAATAAATATATAATCGGTCATGAGAGCCGTTCGCTAGGTGTTGTGCGGAAATTATACGTGTATATATATGCATATATACGTGTTCACGTGTAAATTTTTACACGTGAAATTCGAATTGTAATAACAATTCTAAAATTCATATCGGATGCTATACTTGCATTTCGTATAAGAGAAATCCCAAATACCCCCCTAATTGAAATTAAATTTATATTGCGAAAAAAACTCCTCGGCCAGGAGTCGAACCTGGAATCTCCGGCTTTCCGTGCCGTCGCCTTTCCTATTCTGGCCGAGGAGTTTTTTTCGCAATATAAATTTAATTTCAATTAGGGGGGTATTTGTGATTTCTCTTATACGAGATGCAAGTATAGCATTTGATATGAATTTTAGAATTGTTATTACAATTAGAATTTCACGTGTAAAACGTTGCACGTGAACATGTATATATGCATATATATACACATATAATTTCCGCACAACACCTAGCGAACGGCTCTCATGACCGATTATATATTTATTAGTTTGCAAACAAAACAGTTTAATTTAAGAGTAGTACGAGCGGCAATTCGCACAGTCTTCGAAATGGACGTGCGCTGGAAACATCCCTGGACATCGATCGTTTGTGGTCTTACGGGATGCGGGAAAACAATTTTTGTAAAGACTTTTCTCCGTTATTTGCTGGAAATGGCGAATATTCGATTCGGGAGAGATTTATTTTATTACGGCGAGTGGCAAGAAGCCTATCTTCAATTGCAACGCGAGATGACGGGAAAATGTAAAATCGAGGTACGCAAAGGACTACCGCGCTCGGAAGATTATTCAAACGACCCGCTCTGTGCGAAATTAATAAAAATCGACGATCTTATGCGAGAATCGTCGTCATGCGAAGTGATCGTGGATTTGTTTTCCAAGAGTAGCCATCATAAGAATCTTAGCGTTATACTTATTTTACAAACTCTTTTTCATCAGGGACGCGGTCAATGCGATATTTCGCTAAATGCGAATTACATTGTGGTTTTCAAGACTTCGCGCAGTCGCGCGCACATTCGCCTTCTCGCGCGTCAAGTCTATGCCGACGACGCAAAGTTCTTGGAAGAAGCGTATTACGATGCCACTTCGCGTTCTCACGGCTATTTACTGCTCGATTTGAAACAATTGACACCGGACGAATATCGTTTTCAAACGTGTATTTTTCCCAACGATCCGTGTCATTACGTGTACGTACCCCGCAGATCCTTCGTGTGAAAACAGTGTATAAAAACCCGAAATACGCGAGTGAAAGGCATCGTTCAAAGCTACGATGCCGTCGGCGACGAAAGAACGGAAGAAGCAACAAAGAGCGCATATTAGAGCTAAACGCTCTCTCGGTGAGAAAAACATCTGTCTACTGAAGGCTCTGTATCTTCTAAATAAAAATCAACGCGCTGCTTTTCTGCGAAACGCTGATAACAAATTCATCGCGTGTATTCGCGAGTGCGTTCACAATACGCTCAGAGGTAACGTACCGCTCGAAAAAAGAGAGAAGAACCGCCTAATTCGATACAAAACGGCGCTGCGCCGTATCGCGGAACGAAGAGGTACTTGGAGATGCAAGAGAAAGCTGCTGGTGCAACAAAGAGGCTTTTTACCGTACATCATCGGGCCCGCACTTGGAGCTTTATTATCTCGATTTATCGAGTAATCATGGAACGGGCTAAAAAAATGGTGCTGATTTCCACGGATAATCTCGAGAGAATGCAACAACGTCTAGCGGAAGAAACTGCGGGGACCGCTGCTAATACCACCCGCACTCCCGGAACCGTGCTCTCGTGTCTCAACGCAGAGATGAGACGTATTCTCGATTTCCCTGTTGATGAAGGTGAAAAATGGAAATTGTACAGCAAAGTACTTCGTCGATATCTATATTTTATCCGAAAAGCGAGAAAGCGTTCTCGCAAAGAAGAAGATCCATCCGTGGCGGAAACAACTTCTGTGACAGAAACCGGTGAAAAGGGAGAAGAGGAGGACGAAGAAATGAGAGAACTACTACCATGATCAAAAAATAACCGGAATTTATTCATAAAAAGAAAAGTACATGTTTATTCTTCAAAATTCAAGTTGTCCCCTTCAAAGTAGTCC